AAGAGTAGATATTTGCAAATCACATATCAGATAAAGGGTTAGTATCCAAAATCTATGAAGAACTTATCAGAATCAACATCCAAAGAACAAATAATCCAGTGAAGAAATGGGCAAAAGGCATTAATAGACACTTTTCCAAAGAAGATACACAGATGGCTAACAGACACATGAAAGAACGTTCAATATTACTCATCATCAGCAAAATACAAATCAAAACCACAACGAGATATCACCTCACACCTGTCAGAATGGCTAAGATTAACAACTCAGGCAACAACAGATGTTGGCAAGGATGAAGAGAAAGAGGAACCCTTTTGCCCTCCTGGTGGGAATGCAAACTGTTGCAGCCACTCTGGAAAACAGTATGGAAGTTCCTCAAAAATTAAAAATAGAACTACCCTATGACCCAGCAATTGCACTACTAGGTATTTTTACCCAAATGATATAAAAATGCTGTGTCAAAGGGACACGTGCACCTCAATGTTTATAGCAGCATTCAACAGTAGTCAATATGGAAAGAGCCCAAATGTCCTTCAACGGATGGATAGATAAGGAAGATGTGGCATATATATTCAATGGAATATTACTCGGCTATCAAGAAGACTAAAATCTTGCCATTTGCAACAACATGGGATGGAACTAGAGTGTATTCTGCTAAGTGAAATAAGTCAGAGAAAGACAAATACCATATGATTTCACTCATGTAGAGATACCAAACAGATGAACATAGGGGGAAGGGAAGCAAAAATAATATAAAAACAGAGAGGCAGACAAACCGTAAGAGACTCTTAAATATGGAGAACAAACTGAAGGTTGCTGGAGGGGTGTTGGGTGGGGGGAAGTGCTAAAGGGTTGAAGGGCATTAAGGAGGGCACTTGTTGAGATGAGCACTGGGTGTTATATGTAAGTGATGAATCACTAAATTCTATTCCTGAAAGAAGAAAAAAGAACAAACTGAGGATTGCTAGAGGGGTGTTGGGTGGGGGATTGGCTAAATGGGTGATGGGCATTAAGAAGAGCACTTGTTGGGATGAGCACTGAGTGTCATATATAAGTGATGAATCACTGAATTCTAGTTCTGAAACCATTATTACACTGTACATTAACTAACTTGGATTTAAATAAATTTTTTGTTTTTTACAAATAGTTTATTGTCAAATTAGTTTCCACATAACACCCAGTGCTCATCCCCACGAGTGCCCTCCTCCATGCCCATCCCCCCTCCCCCCCACATCCATCAGTCCTCAGTTTTTGTCAGCATTCAAGAGTCTCTCATGGTTTGCCTCTCTCCCTTTCCCCCACCATTTCCCCCTTCTTCTCCCCCGTTGTCCTCCGTTAAGTTCCCCCTAATCCTCCTATATGTGCAAACATATGATATTTGTCCTTCTCTGCCTGACTTATTTCGCTCAGCATAACACCCTCAAGGTCCATCCATGTTGCTACACATGGCCAGATTTCATTGTTTCTCATTGCCATGTAGTATTCCATGGTATAGATAAACCACATCTTCTTGATCCATTCTTCTGTTGATGGACACTTAGGCTCTTTCCATGTTTTTGCTATTGTTGAGAGTGCTGCTATGAACATTGGGGTACATGTGCTCCTATGCATCAGCATTTCTGTATCCCTTGGGTAAATTCCTAGCAGTCCTATTGCTGGGTCATAGGGGAGTTCTATTGTTAGTTTCCTTAGGAACCTCCACAGTTTTCCAGAGGGGCTGTACCAGTTTACATTCCCACCAACAGTGTAGGAGGGTGCCCGTTTCTCCACATCCTCGCCAGCATCTAGAGTCCTCTGATTAGCTCATTTTAGCCACTCTGGAGTGACGTGGTATCTCAGTGTGGTTTTGATTTGTATTTCCCTGATGAGGAGGGATGCTGAGCATCGTTTCATGTGTCTGTTGGCCATCTGGATGTCCTCTTTAGAGAAGTGTCTGTTCATATCTTCTGCCCAGGATTTAAATAAATTTTTAAAAAAATAAATAAAGGTACCAAAGTGTGAAAAAAATAGGTCTGAAAATCACCACTCCACTCTAGTTCAGTGAAGCTTTTGCTGAGTTTTTTTAGGTGGGGAAGGGAATAATCCATCACTAACAGAACTTTTGTAAAACATACCTGTAGAAGTCAAAGTCAAGATAGGCTGAATTTATTCTGACAATTGATGTAGCAACATAAACACCTCTTAAATTGTTCATTTTTCCAGCAGAAAATTCCCCTCCTGGGGCCCTCAGCATTGAATTAGACCCAAGATAATTCAAACACAAGTTTATTTAGAAAGTAAAAGCACAAAATAACTCTTGCCCTTCTATAGGTCTTCAGTAAGTAAGAAAAGAGTATGTGTTTGAGGAAACTATCTATGTCTGCCTAAGACTCAAAATAAGGAGTGGTATTTTTTTCCTGACCTGGTTATTGAAGAAACCTTTTAATGAAATTCAGCTTTATTTTATAAATAATGCAATGCTTGCTTGTGATTAGGTGAACCTAATTGGATACCCACTAAGAGAGGATATTGCCTGCAGACCCTTACTATTAGGAATAAACAATATTGCACATTTTTTCAAGAGGAGGGCAATGAATGGTACTAGATTAAGTAAACCAGTGTAGATGTCAGAAATCCTCTTCCTCGATGGACTGGGACTCTTGTTAACAGAGAGCCTCTCCTTGGCTGTGGTTGGCCACAAATACCTGTCCTAAGCTTCATGGTTCTGCAGTTGCAAACAGGTTCTTGGAGCACAGGGCATACTAAAGGCCTTTTCCCTCATAGTGCTTATTTTGCCTTCCTTCCACTGATTATTTTTGTTTTTGAGAGTTTGATGTGGACTTTAGTTCAGTGTCTGATTTGAAAAAAAAAAAGACAGAAACATTTTTGTACTCAATGAAATTGAAAGTCATGACTGTTTATTTAAGTGACAGTGGATCATGAGGGAACATAAAGTTTGAGAAGGTGGGCTGAGAGCCCATGCTGGGGGCAATTGCTTGACAGTGCAGATGGGTGCTGCAAGAGTTGGGTCGGCCCACAGTGGGGACATCTTATTGAACTTAGATGGTCCTTTCCCATAGGTAGTGGTTTCACCTCACATATTTATTTCAAGGGCTCCCAACTAAAGAATCAAAGAAAAAATCAAGTTTTAAGAAGATAGATGTCCCCGGGAAGCTTTCTATTACAGCTGGTTTGCAAGGAAATGAGAACTCTCACTGTGTTCATTGGACATCCCTTAAATCTTTGGAAGTCAGAGAGCTTTACTCAACATCTTCACCTGCGCCAAAAAAAAAGGGAAAAATTTTTCTTTAGAAGAATTTGAGTCCTGGCAGCAATATCTTCTCCATAACCACTTCCAAAATCATTTAGCCATAAGCTTCTCAGGAGACTTTTGTGGGCATGAAGTGAATGAACAGGTACAAGAGCATTTTGTCTCTCATCATATATCTGATGTCACATAGTAGTATCTCAGAGAGAGAGAACCAATGACTTGCCATCCCTCATGACTGTGATGCTCGGCATTGTGGGGCTATCACACCTTTTGCCTGAGCAAAGGTGACCAGAGAGAAACAAACGATAGTGCCATGTGCTGGCCCAGTATGTTTTCTTTTCCCCAACTTCCTCTCATAATATCTCTCTCCCCAGCAGCCTCTGCAGCCACTGAGAGTAATTAGGGCTTTCAAGCTTTAGGAGGACATAACATGTCTCTGAGGAGAGTCCTTGTCAGTCATGAGGAGGATTACTCATAATGTCTTCCTCAAAATACTAGTTCTGAAGGATGTTCATTGTGTTCATCGTGGCTCTAGAAGGAAGTAGAGAAGGATTACATGGTCAAATAAACCTAGGAAATTTGAGGTTAAGCCAAGATTTAGAAAGACAAACCATGAGACTTGTCTTGTTGACCTTTTAAATAGGACCCCCCTTCTGCTCCCAAATATAATTGATCTTAGAAGGTGTGGGACAGAGTGGGAGGGGGCAAGCATGTCATTTGATTGTTAAGAGACTTGAAAAGTACACATCCTATTTTTATTTCTTGGGCATTATCTTAGCTTTTCTCCATTGAGAGGCAGCTTCACGGGCATATTCTGAGTACTCCAGGTAACAGAGACAGAGTGAACCTCTTAGTTTGCTAAACATTCTGCTCTAAATATAGCTCTAAATATAGCAGAAACAACTAAAGTATGTAGCTGTGCAGATTTGCCTTCTTTATGGTTTTGAGTTAAGGAAGTAAATTAATTCCCTTCCTTCCTTAATCAGCATAAATTTGGCTTACTGATGTATCCCCAGTCCTCCTTTACATTTGTTTTGAATACTGGGAATGGTTTTTTCACTTCATTGTGCATTACTTATTATTTTTTTAAATGTTTGTCAGGATTTTCATTCTGAGAACTCTATCAGACCAGTTGGCACCAAATTATAATACAAGGAGAGAAAGGAGATAAAATGGAAAAAGAGAGCCAAGATGGAAAGCCATTTTGGGGGTAAAGCTCATTTTTATGGGAAGACAGTGTGCATTATCCTTTCCCAATAATGGCAGTCTTCCCATCCAAATATGTTCGTGAAGACGCCCTCATCCAAAGAACTGCCAGCATCTTGTGCACACAGTGGGCACTGTACGGCCAGCTGGTCAAGCAGTCCTCCTGGCCCAGAAACTCAGACGCACGGAGGCAATGAGGACTTTCCATCAAAGCAAATTGAAAGTAATTGTAGTATCCAAAGGACTAAAATTTGGTTAACCCTGATAGATTTGCATACTGTTTATTTTTGCACCATTTGAGAGTTCTTTACTTGTTACCCACAACTGTCAAATATGTGCTTCTCAGCCACATTTATATGCCTGCAGCTGCATACATAGTTAGCCATTAAGATTTCACATGGACAACCCATTAAAATAAAGGACGAATTCAGTGTTTTGCTTCGGTTGTGTCATTCCTAGAGTGGAGGAGAGAGGGAAGGAAGCAAATTGTGCCCACCTTAAGACTTTCTGAACAACCATGGCTTAATATTTCTAATTTTTTCAGGTTGTATCCTCGCCACGCCAGTGCCCTGAACAACCTTGGAACTCTGACAAGAGACACAGCAGAGGCAAAGATATACTATCAGAGGGCTCTCCAGCTAAATCCGCAGCACAACCGCGCTCTTTTCAATCTCGGGAATCTCCTCAAGTAAGTACAAGGTGGATCTTCGACCAGGCGCTCTTGTCATTTTTGGAACCCCTTTAATTCTTGACACTCATTTGGTCGTCCTTCAGTCACCTCTTCCCAGAGTAGGATAATAAGGGTTTTCAAGCTTTGAGAGGAAGTCATATTCATCTGAATTAATTCTATCCCTTATTAGTTCAAAAGGAGTATTTCCCACAGCGTCTCTCTGAGCATGTTAGGGTTTTTTTGTTTTGTTTTGTTTTGTTTTTTTGTTTTTTGGGGTTTTTTTTTTTTTTTTAGTTTATTTCTGAGAGAGAGAGAGAGAAAGCATGAGCAGGGGAGGGTCAGAGAGAGAGGGAGACACAGAATCCAAAGCAGGCTCCAGGCTCTGAGCTAGCTGTCAGCACAGAGCCTGACAGGGGGCTCAAACCCACGAACTGTGAGATTATGACCTGAGCCAAAGTGGGATACTTAACAAACTGAGCCACCCAGGCACCCCTGTTCATGTTAGTTCTGAGAGAGATTCACAGATGGTCTGTGAAGGGGTGGGAATAGGGAAGGGTTACTTGGTCAGATAAACTTAGGAAACACCAAGATGGACCAGGATAACTCTCCTCTTGAAAGAACCATTAATATCCTAAATGCCCCGCAAGTCTTCAAAAAGGCAATATGGAGTATAACACTTCCCAATTTTTTCTTTTCTTTTCTTTTCTTTTTTTGATAAGGCATTTCGCAGGTATTCCACACATATACTTTGTCAAAGTACTCATCCCTGAAGAGCAGCATGCTCTAAAGCTGTAGCCAGGTGACAGACCACAGCTCGTATTCAGTGCGTAGTAGCAGTAAGAAAGTGAGGCCTGCCTGGACTTAGTGATGGTAACTCTTGCTGTTAGGAAGACCTACCTGATACAGTCACTAGTCACCGGGTATAGTCACTGCCCTGTAAAAGGTTGATAGTGGATTACTGTCATCAAAGACTAAAGCACACAGGGGTACTTTTGCATCTTGTATTTTTATTAATACAAAGTCTTGGTATGATGGTATATCAGAAGCAGAAATAGGGTGAACATGTTTGGAATGAGATTGTAGTGATGCTCATTAGGATGCTGACCATCTACACACTTACTGAATTGGTTTCCACATCTCTAAACTTCTAGAGCACTTATTTGGTACCTTTAAAGCTAATGATTTGCTTTGTTCTTTTAGCCTCTCCCTAAAAGGCTTGTCTCTCTTTTTTTTTTTAATATGTATTTACTTATTTTTGAGAGAGAGAGATGGAGAGGGTGAGAGAAAATTCCAAACGGGCTCCACACTGTCAGCTCAGAGCCAGACGTGGGGCTTGAACTTATGAACTGTGAGATCCTGACCTGAGCTGAAACCAAGGTGCCAGCCAGGTGCCCCAACAGGATTGTCTTTATTATCTCAGTAACTCAGTATAATGCAGTTTCTTCACCTTCTTATTTACTCCTTTAATTTACATATACAGATTTATATATAGCTTTACATATACTTTCTCCTAATGTGTGTATTGATGTGTGTTTTTATCTAATCTTGTTTGGACAGAAGCATTGGATGGATTAATCACAGAACAGTCTAATATAGTATGAAGTGATAGGTGCCATCCTGAATCTGAAGGTGTTTTTTTTTTTAAGTTTATTTATTTATTTTGAGAGACAGAGAGAGGCTGAGAGGAGAAAGAGAATCCCAAGTAGGCTTTGTCTTGTCAGCACAGAGCCCAATGCAGGGCTCGAAATTACAAACCAGGAGATCAGGACCTGAGCTGGAATCAAGAGTCAGACACTTAACTGACTGAGCCACCCAGGCACCCCCTTAGTCTGAAATTTTGTTTCAAAATGGCTTTATCCAGGGGCACCTGGGTGGCTCAGTCGGTTGAGCATCCAACTTTGGCTCAGGTCATGATCACACAGTTTGTGGGTTCGAGACCCACGTCAGGGTCTGTGCTGACGGCTCAGAGCCTGGAGCCTGCTTCCAATTCTGTGTGTCCCTCTCTCTCTGCCCCTCCCCTGCTCATGATCTGTCTCTCTCTGTCTCTCAAAAATAAATAAATGTTAAAAAAAATTTTTTTAAACAAAACAAGAAAACAAAATGGCTTTATCCATGTACAGGAGTACAAAATCAAGGAATACTGTACAAAAATAAGTAAATGTGAGGCAAGTACACTTAAAATGAAAGAAATAAAACTATAAATCAGTAAAAACCAAATAAACTTAATTTTTCAAATTAGGTAATTTATTGTTACAATTTGATACAAATTGAGAATGTTGAAAAACAACTAAGAATGAAGTAATACACACTGTGACAGAAAAACCATTTTATCACCAGTTCGCTCTCATTAAAAATAATAACCAATCAAGAGATGTGGGGAAATTGAGTTCTCTGTTATTGCAGATAACTAATTGCAGGTCAACAGAGTGCCTTTATTTTACTCTGCTATTTTTATGAGCCCTTATTTCTTTATACGAAGCTCTAAGGACTCATTTTTAAAAGTCATTGTTGGGTCTTTTTATGTCCTAACTTCGAGCCCGAGTAACTGGATAAAGTCCTGTCAGTGTCTTTTGGGGTAACTGGATTACATGGTACTGATTTTGTTTTTAATTTTTTTTACAGTTTTATTTATTTTTGAGACAGGACACGAGTTGGGGGGGGGCGGGGAGGAGAGAGAGACACAGAATCTGAAACAGGCTCTAGGCTCTGAGCTAGCTGTCAGCACAGAGCCCGACGGGGGGCTCAAACCCACGAACCGTGAGGTCACTACCTGAGCCAAAGTCAGACACTTTACCGACTGAGCCACCCAGGCATCCCAACATGGTACTGATTTTAAAGACCACGTATGAGTATTTGTTCCCCCAAAGAGCCAGCTTTAATTACAGTTCCTGTTAGGAATGATGTCCTGCAGTTATGGTTACAATATTGTGCTGAATGGACCTCTACTTGAAAATGATGGCAGACAGTTCATGAATTTCATCCTGCCAAGACCTGAACAAGAGATGCGCACTCTAACCTTCCTTTTCAGTTCATATATTATTGCCACTATTATCTTGAATGAGTATCTGTGAGTTAAAAGGATAAGGAATTGTTTTTTGGAGCATGGCAATGGCTACTTTTCACAGTAGGAGGGATTTCTGGATACTGAGCATAGGATTTTTTCTTTGTGAGAGATTTTGTCAAAATCAACTTTTGATGGTTATCCAAACAAAAGACAATGCTTTACATTTGTGTAAGACTGTAGTTTTCTGAGTGCATTATATTTTAATGAAGCCCTCCTAGTGACTCCTTAAAGTAGACAGAGAAGCAGAGGAAACCAAGGTTCTGAGAAGTTGAGTACCTTGTGCAAAGTCACCGTTGTTTGCCTTTTGTTTTTTTTATTTATACCAGAGAGCAGAGTGGCTGTATCTATGTAGATTATCCTTACAATCCAGTAGAATAAAATCATAATAATAGCTAACATTTATATAATACTATCCAGTTTATAGATAATTGCTTTTGTATTCATTATTTATCTTTATTGTGAGAGGTATTATCATCTGCATCCCCATTTTACAGATGGAGAAACCAAGAGCCTAGGCATTGTCAGAGCTAGGACTGAATCCCTGCCCTTGGATTCCTATTCTGTTCACTTCCCTTTCCCTATACTGTCCAAATACCCCTCCAATCCAAGAATTACTTAATATTCAGCTATTTAATGGAATGTGATTGCCCTCTGTGAGAAAGGCCTATCATGAGTTTTTTTTTTTTTTGGGGGGGGGGTGGATAGTGATATTTCTTTATATTATATCCCTTAGTAGCAGAGAGAGGTGACCCAGAAAATAGAGCTAATCCACATTTAGTTAACTTTGAGTTTCATTTCCACTTACCTTAATATATGTCAGCTACTCGCAGTGGGTCAAAAAAAAAAAAAAAGATAAGAATATTTTAAATTTTGTTTGATTTGATCTATTTTGCTGTTTACTTAAGATTTTCACCCTGTCTGTTTCTTATCAGGCAGATAATTTTTTGAATTGTGCCTTTTTTTTTTTTTAAATCTAGAACTTACTGCTCATTCTGGATCCCAGGCATCTATTTGGCCACAAGTGTTAGATTTGCTCATCCCTGAAAACAAGGCACTGTCATCATTCCTGTTTTATAAATAAAGAAACTAAGGCTTGGAGAAGTCATGTGCCAAGGTCCCTTATTGAAGAAATAGAAGGCCTGGGAATTGAAGCTAGATCTGTCTGCCCACACTCAACTGCCTCCTTGTGGCTCACCTCAAAACTGGGATACAACCTAGAGCCACATTGCCCAGTGGAAATGCAATGAGAGCCAGAATCTGTAACTTAAAATTTTCAAGTAGTCATATTTCAGAACATAAAAAAGGTGGAATTAATTATAATAATGTATTCTATTTAACCCCAGTATATCCAAAATAGTATCATTCTAGCATGTAATTAGTATTAAAAATTAATTTTAAAACTGAACATGTAAAAATATTACTGAGCTAGTGTGTATCTTTTTTATAGTTAATCTTTGAAACCGAGTGTATGTCTCATACTTTCAGTCTAGCAGACTAGTCATATTTCAGGTGTTTAGTAACCACATGTGGTTAGTGGCTGGTGTATTGCACAGCACAGACCTTTATTAATGACTTTGACTCTGAGAGAAATTAAGTCTTTGTCCATGCCCAGAAGCTCTAAATAAAATGTGATTCCGTCAGACCATCCCAGAAATCTTATGGCACCGAGGACAAATGTCATTTGAATTCTTGGAATTATATGACATACAGCTTTAGACCTGTTCATAGCAATAGATTTCAATGAGTGCTATTCAAATTTATTTGGCCTCTTTCATGACCATTTCATTGGACTTCGAAGCTAATCTATTATGATTCTGTGCAGCATATTCACAGTGTGACAGATTGATAAGGAACAGCTACCCATGCCAGCATTCTTAATTTATATTAATTTTTGTTGGCTTTTTTTGAAACCTAAAATGTAAAAGGAAATAGGCAAGATTAGCATAAACTTTTC